TGGTACTAGGGATATTGTAGCTAATGTTAGATGGATATTGGCTGAAAGCAGGGAGTACCAGAGGAATGTCTATCTGTGCTTCATTGATTATGCAAAGGCGTGTGACTGTGTGGACCATAACAAACTGTGGCTGACTCTGAGAAGAATGGGAATCCCAGAACATTTGATCGTGCTAATGGGAAACTTATACTTGAACCAAGAGGCAGTCGCCAAAACAGAGCAAGGAAACACTGCGTGGTTCAAAACTGAGAAGGGCGTAGGCCAGGGATGTGTCCTGTCTCCATACCTTTTCAACCTATATGCAGAACAGATCATCCAGGAGGCTGGGCTCTATGAGGAGAAATGTGGCATTGGGACTGGTGGAAGATCTATAAACAATCTGCATTATGCAGATGACAAAATCCTGCTTGCTGAAACTGAGGAGGACCTGAGGTGCTTGCTGCTGAGGGTCAGGGACTATGGCCTTCAATATGGATTGAGGCTCGATGTCAAGAAGACAAAGATTCTCACCACTGGACCAACTGGTAGCATCAGGATGGATGGTGAAGAGACTGAGATTGTTCACAGCTTTAGTCTGCTTGGCTCCACAATCAACACTCTTGGCACCAGCAGCCAGGAAATTAAAAGACGTATTGCGATGGGAAAATCTGCTCTTAGGGACCTCTCTAAAGTACTCAAGAGCAACAGTGTGTTTCTGGAGATTAAGGTGCGTCTGGTACAGGCCATGGTCTTTGTAATCACTTGTTATGCATCAGAGAGCTGGACAATGACCAGGGAGGACAAGGAGAATCGATGCTTTTGGTGTTGGAGAAGAGTGCTGAGGGTGCCATGGACTGCTAAGAAAACGGATACATCCTGGAGAGGGTTAAACCAGGCTGCTCCTTGGAGGCAAGGATTCTGAGGTTTCGTCTGACATACTTTGGTCATGTTGTAAGGAGGGATCAGTCCTTGGAGAGGGACAGCATGCTTGGGAGGGTGGAGGGCAGGCGCAGAAGAGGAAGGCCCTCTGGGAGATGGAGTGATTCGGTGACTGGGGCAATCAGGATGAGTGTGTCGGAGACAGTGAGATTGGTACAGGACAAAGCAGAGTTTAGAGCTATTGTACATAGGGCCGCTATGAGTCGCAAGCGACTCGACGGCACATAACAACAACAACACCATATATCATGATGTTGTCTATTGTATTGGTGGTGAGGATTTTTGTTTTCCTAATGTAATTTTTGTTTTCCTGGGATGCAATCCATATTGAGGGCTGCAGTCTTTGATCCTATGCAACAAGAGCAGGTTGTTGACCTCTCATCCTGATGCCACCTTCTTCCTTATATAGTACAGATCTTTGAATGAATTGTTCTGCATACAGTTTAAACATGGAGAAAGAATATGATGTGGGCTCTCCTATTTTAAATCTCAGAAGTATTGTGATTTCCTCTTTCAAAGTCTTTTGACTTTTGTGCATAATAATTAGGAACCATCTGTTCTCAGGAACCCTCTGCTTTTTTTGTGCCTAACAGCACACACAGCACTGCTTTTTATAAACTGTTTCCTCTGTTTTGAATACTTTAGTCCACCACCTCTTGTAGTGGATCACCTGTGACCTATTCAGAAAGTGTTCCTCTCTGACTCCTGTGAACCATATAAATAACAGCACTTCTAGACAATTTTGGTATTATATAGCTATTTCTTAGGTTCTGGTCATGCAGTGGTTATAGTAATTGATTGTTAACGTAATTGGTTAGAAGTCTGAACTCACTACTAGCTTTATGGGGATAAATACATAGCAGTCTGTTTGCATGAAGAGTACAGCCCTGGACAGTTTTAGGACAATTTTAATCTTATATAGACTTGGCTTTTTGCTATTTCTGTTATTTAAATGATTATACTTTCATAGTGTATTTATACATTATAATTCCTTTAATGAGAATTTGAGGGCAACGTCTTCTCATACACTTTGAACCCGAGTAATACTTTGACCAGTGTCTGGCATATAAAATATTAACTGAAATAGAGATTTTGATACACATCTGACTCCACAAGCTGCAGACTATTAAGGGTCAACATACATTTACATGCCCTCAACAAATACTAGAGGTATTCGAATCAGTTTTATGGAATTAAACGATATCCTACTAAATAAAATAATTTTGAGATAAACAGAGTAAATTCCGAAGCATATATTTATTAAAACTAGTAATTTGTCCTGTTCCCTTAGCCAATGAATAATACCAGTTCACTAATACTCAAACATATCCTGCTTCTTTCAAAAGCTTTGGTGCCCGGGTGGGTAAGGAGTTGCATTACCAACCTCAAGACAAGTGGCTTGAATCCACCCGCTGCTTGTTGGGAGAAATATGGGCCATATTCACCTGTGCAATTCACAATATTTGAAAACCCACTGTAGGTTAGCTATTGAGTTGGTTCTGTCTATACAGCAAGAAGTTTGAGTTTTGAGAGTTTTTGGCATGTATGTTCTATACTTTTATTTTTATCTTACTTTTTAAAGTAAGGAGCTGTGGTGGTGTAGTCTGTAGTGAACTATGTGAAACTACATAGAGATAAAGATAGTGACTCTCTTGTGACTCTCAGTGACTCTAAGAAGAAAGATATGTAATCTCCTCCTGTTGAATCTAGTGGAGGGTCACCTATGAGTTGGGTCTGATTCCATGATCCTAAGGTCAGAAGAACTACATTGTGCCAAGGAATTATGGTAGAAGGGATCCTGGATAGAGTGGAGGAAAAATGTAGAATAAAAATAAAAACATTAAAAAGGTCAAGATTATGGTAAGAGACAGGTAGGACTCCTGGCACTGGAACAAAACTCTATGAACCTGAAACAAAAGCCAAACAACAGGCCCAAATAAGGAGACCAATAATACAAGGGAGGCACTCAATCCTCAGAATACCAACCATATAAAGGTCCAGGAATAACATTAATCCAAGCAGAAAGCCCTGAGGGCAGGAAAGAGCAAAAGCTTAAATGAAACGAGAATTACCGAGAGAAAATGGGACACATAGCAACACATTGTGACTATGTAATTCATGTTATAAAACAAAATATGTAAGAATATTTAAATGAAAAAAATATTTTGCGTTGTAAACCTTCACTCAAATAACAACAATAGTAGAACTTCTGAGTTCCTAAAAAGTTAAATAAGTTACCCTAGTCCCAAAATTTTTCTTGCTAAAGAATTTTTGGCCTAATGCGTAACATTTTTCCTGTGTCACTCACATGAAGTCTGGTACTTGGTAAGCTATTAGTATTGCACTTCCGTTCATACTCCCAAGTCTTAACTTACCTTCATTGGCTGAGTATTTTACCAGTAGAATGCGACCTGAACTTAAAGCAATAAAAATGGCTCCAAGCAGAAATGCGTACATGGCTGACAAAGAGCATAGCAGAGGGTGACCACAGCACTTATTCTCCATTCCACTGGCTTCTAACTATCTTCAAGAGAAGAATACTTTTATAAGCAAACATGTAATAACCCCCCCCCCCCAATAAAACCCAAAACCAAAACTACAAAACCGTATCAAACATTAGGGAAGCCCTATGGGTAAGTTTAAGTATTAGGAATAATTTTATAAAAAGCACTGATTTGTGAACAACACAAAGTCTCATATATATATATATATATATCCATATCCATGCATGGAGATATATATAGATCGATCTATCTATCTATCTATCTATCTATCTATCTATCTATCTATCTATCTATCTATATCTATCCATACATGGATATATATATATATATAACCAGAGAGTTAGAAAGTAAAGAAGAAGCTATCTATGGTGAAGGGAAATAATGAACACAAAAAGCAGCTAGAAGAGAAAGCACACTAGAGACAGAAAAAGAAAGCACCAGATTAGTAGCGTTAATAAACATTGTGCATAAGCAACTAATACTTTTGGACTAGAAAATAAAGGTAACTGTAAAAAAAGGAAACTTTCCTATACTCTGAAGATGATGAAAGCCATCACTAGGCACACCAATCTCTGCTTGCTAGAATAGTTTTTTTCAACTGTGGTGATTTTGTCCACAGGGGACATATGGCAATGCCTGGAGACATTTTTGGTTATCATTGGGTGGGTGCTACTGGCATCTAGTAGACAGTGACCAAGGATGTTAAACCTTTAGGTAGACAGTTGCTGATCCTCAACAAAGACCATGTTATAACTGATAAGTGTTGACGAACCCACTCGAACTCAGAAGAAATCATCTGTGTAACAGAATATACTGTGGTCTAGTCATGCTCCATCATGACAATTGTTCTATTTGCTGCCATTGTATCAATCTATTTCTCTTAGAGCGTTACTCTTTTTCACCAATTCTCTACTTTATAAAACATGTCTTTCTTTTGGGACTGGAGTCTCCTGAAAACATGTCTAAAGCAAGCAAGCCACAGCCTTGCTTCTTAGGAATATTCTCTTAACAGAAAATATCAGTAGAATTGAAATGAAGAGACTCTGTCTAGAAGCAAGGTCTCTTTCTAGAACAACATGCTTGAGAGCTAACCAAAAGATTAGGGATTTGAATTTAATCAGAAACAGCTCAGAAGAAAAGTCTAGCTATTTATGTCTGAAATACTATGAAAAACCCTATCCGATACTGTTCTGATACACCTGAGGTAGCTATGGGTCATGGCAACTAGTTTACCCGTGTGGCCCCAAAAACATTAGCAAAGAAAAGGTTACATACAATACATTTTAATAGTCTCATTGGCCACGAGTGTATCTAGGTAGTGGGCAGTTCTGTGATTTGGCACCTCAAAATAAGTCCATTTCATTTTCTGCTCTACTCATCTCGCTACCTAAATAAGACTTTAAGATTAGGACAGCATGGATAAGCATTGATCTTAATTTAGACACTGCTTATTGAAAACACATGTACTTCTTTGATTCACACTTCAGGCATACTGTCAGGAGGGATCGTTTTTGGAAAAAGGCATCATGCTCCAAAAATTGGAGGATCAGAGAAAGCCCCTCAGCGAGATGAGTTGATAGCAGTTGCAATAATGGACTTGAATATATCAGAGATTGTGAGGATGCTATAGGACACTGTCCCTGTTAGTCATAGTCAACTTGATTTAAACTTAACAGCACATAACACAACAACAACATTTATCTTCGGGAGTTCCTGACAATTGCTGCCATGAGCATACATTAGAGTTAGGGGTTGCTGTTTATTTTAGAGTCTAGAAGAAGGACTAGTGGTAAAAATCTGTGCTGGAATCTCCAAAGCTGTGGTTCAAATCCATCAGTTGCTCTGGTGAAAAAAGATGAGCCATCTCCTCCCAGGTGATTTACTGTCTCTGAAAACTTGCTGGAGGGTCGGTTCGGACTGAAGGGTAAACAACATCATCTATTTTATTATGGGCAAGACTTTGAAATTGGCTGATTTCTTTCCAATCCTATTCATGAATTTAGAAATTGATTACTGAAATGCATAGCATTTGTGCTCTTTATTCTAGCATCCCTTTAGTTTTCATTCTTTTTACGAACTCGCTCTCTAGAATTTAGAATTTGTATTCTTCTCCTTACAGCAACTCTAAAGAGGTTGAGAGTTTAATGTGAAAGAAATGGTATTTCCAGGTTGTGGTGGTGTTGTGGACTGTTGAGTAGGAAACGACCCATAGCTGATCCTCCAACGGGTTTTCAGAGACAGTAAATTGCACTAAAGGAGAATACCCACCCTTTTCCCCGAGGAGCAGCTGGTGGATTCAAACCACGTACCTTTGGAATTGCAGCAGTTTCTTACCACTAAGGTAGACATAGAAATACTTGAAACACTGCTTCGCTGAACTACTGTTGGAGAAATCCTTAATTATTTCGTTCAACTTTTACATGTTGAAGGCACAAATCCACCCTGGTAACCTGTCCAAAGTCTCCCAGTGTTATCTAGTGATAGTACAGACTCCCTCTACCAGGACAGGCAAGGGATTGGTTAAAATGCCTATAATGACATAGCAACTGTGCGCAAGCGCAGAAGACACCAGATACAGGCTACCCACCACCTGCCCCCAAAGCCAGTGCAGGTTTCTGCGGTCAGGAAAGCCCTTCTTATCACACATGCGCAGTAGGCACTCTCAGCAGGCGCGCCCTCCCCTTACACGCACGCGCAGTCCCTTGCTTGCAGGGCGCCGTTACCTCGGTCCCTCAGAGGAACTTGTAGTGGAAGAGCGTACATCCTACGGCTGGGAAATTAACTGTATAGCATCGTAGTAGTAGCAAAAAAATTTGAGGGTTCATACGCAGGGAAGCTATGAAAGGGGAAGAGATGAAAAACCCTCTGCCTTCAAGCCACCTATTCCGGAACAAAAAAACTGATAACGTCCAGAGAAAAATCCCGACAAGGAACCCATTGCGCAAGCGCATTCAATGTTACGCTTCCGGAGGGAGGGAGAAACGGGCTGACCCCGCCCCTGAGAGGCCTTTCTCGCGTCACGTGTGGGGGAGAGTCTTAAGTCACGTGAGGCCCAGGTGGTGGTGGAGCTATGGCGAAAGAGTGAGAAAGAAGGGGAAGCCGGAAGGGGCTTGTGTGAAGCAAGGGGGAGAGAAGACAGCTCTAGGGCGGGCACGGGGTGCGCGTGCGCCCTCTTTTTCCGCTCGCTCCCCAGGGGCCCCATCGCCCTCTCTTGAGGCCTGGTGACAGCTGGGCCCAGGCTCGCCGCGCGCCGCCTTGTGCGCAGAGAGCGCGCGTCCTGCCCTCGCGCGCATAGCTTCGGCCGCCCCTCCCCCTCGCCCGGTCCGCCCCGTCGCGTCCCATTCCCGCGGGTGGAGGCGACTGGGTCCCTTGCGACGCGGCAGCAAAAGGGGACATTTTCTGACTGTCCAGACCCTACTCCGGTCCCCCGGCTGCTTTTCCCATCCCGTCGTGGGGCCGGCCGCTACTCCGGCCCCAAGATGCAGAATGTAATTAACACGGTGAAGGGAAAGGCACTGGAAGTGGCTGAGTACCTGACCCCGGTCCTCAAGGTAAGCCGGGTAGGGCTTACCACGGGCTGTCAGGCACAGTGCGAGTGGCCAGGACCTCGCAAATAAGCTGGTCACTGTGCTCGCAGCTTAGCAAAGGTGTAGGTGGGGGTAGGGGTAACACACAAATAGGTGCAGCGTCCACCCATAGTCCTAAACAATCCAATTGTTGTTTAGGACTTTGTGGCTTGTAAGGGGTCTACTTGCAGAGACGTCAGCCTTCACTGATCTCCATTCAGTGCTTATGGGTATGTCGGTTTGGAAAATGCTCGGATGCACTCAAGAACATGGAATAATCTAAAGTAATTGAAACTTTTCAAGCAAAGATTTGGGTTATCAAGGAATGAAATTAATATTTCGTCCTAAAATTACATATGTCACTCTCTCCCATCGGTTTTCATGGACCTTTCCTTAGAGTTAGAAGTGTGAAATTAACACAATTATCCCAACTTGTTTTAATCTTCAAGGAAACAGATTTGCAACATTAGGAGGGAAAAAAAAAATCTACTCCTCCTAAACTTTAAAATGATGTTTGGTATTAAGTTTAACTTAAGTGATCCTTCTGTATGTTATTATACATGTCTTATGTGTTGACAGTAGTGCGGTAATTTTAAAGTACCAATTAGAACACATTAGCTATTACATATTTTCAGGTTGCTTTCAAAAATAAGTTTCTAAAGGTACATTCAAGTTTCCTTATATAATTCTTGCAAACTTAATTTTTTTTGTTATAGTTTTGTTTTCTTTTCTGAAAATGCAACAGAAATGAATTGCAAGCCCTGCTTAGTTACAGAAATCCTAGTGTGAAAAATAAACCATTCTTGGAAATATCTTTCTTTATTCAGGAAGTTATGCTGAAAATGGTAGGATACTTCTCCCCCCTCATGACAAAGAGAAATTATAATCCTGTTCATTTGTATTTTTAATGTCTATGACTGACTTCAAAATAATACTCATCTGGCCCACATTTTTAAAATAATCAGAAAAGTGTATGAATTGTAATTCCAACCTTTGCAAACTTACATTTTTCTACACTGAAATCCATCTTAATTCAAGTTACTCGGCTAGTTAAGGTTAAAAATAATTTTGACTTGAAAATAAAATAGATGTTAGTATTATTTTATCCTTTTAGAATAGCATGTCTACCTGGTTGTGCAGAATTTAAATAATACGATATTATTCCATTTCTTAGTTTTATCAAGAGAAGAGATGGAAGGTTGAACTGAAAAAGTGTTAGGTCATCAGTTATGTATGGTGCATAATTTTTCAATAATAAGGAAAGCCAAATTAATGACCCTTTACTAACGTGGGAGGTCTGGTAACCTAGTGATAAGGAGCTGCACTGCCAACCCAAAGACACACAGTTTAAATCTACCAGCTGCTCCATGGGTGAAAGGTGGGCAGTCTCTTCCTAAGTGGTTTAAAGCCTCTAAAAACCTTTTAGAGCTATAAGTTGATTCTG